AACTATATATTCATATATAAAGAATAATTTAGAATAAAATACATATGCAGTGCTTACACAGGAAACATAAAATAAACTATAAACTTCTAACTAAAAGATGACTGGGCAGAAGGCTCCTACCAGAATAAAATGGTCAGGAAAATAAGCTAAAAGCGACAAATCAATGAATGTGTCCTCAGCAAGTACTGAGTATGCCCTATGACCTTGGAGTAAAAGGGCCCAATACTACAAAACTGTAGAACAGAATGAGGGTGAATTTGCGAGCTATGAAATACTACACATCACAAAGTCCTAGCCCTTCATTTTTACTTGGTGGATTCTGACACAAGATAGAGAAGGGTTCAACACAATAACTTGGAAAAGACTTACGTTTGTAATTTGCAGGGTGGGAGGATGGTGGGGGACAAAGACATCATGGAGGAATGAGGCTAGCTAGTGGAAGACTTGGTATAAAATAATAATGAAGTTTTGGGGAAAGTTAAGAAACATCTTTACCTCTTAACACATACTAAAATAAATTTGAGCTAGAAATTAAAGAATTAAGGACAAGAAAGTAAATCATTAAAAACTTAGAAGAAAATTAAGTGAAAGATTTATTTTGTCAGGGTAGAAAAGACCTTTCTTGGCATAAAAGCAAAACATACACACAAAAGCGTAAATTTAAAGTACATGAAAAACAGAACATGTAAAATCATAAAATCACACAGATGAGGAACTATCCACACCAAATCTGTCATGGCAAGATCAACTTCCTTAACATATGTAAATCAATAAACAATAACTTCAGCACTACACTAGAAAATTAAGGAAAGGGGATACCAGACAGGTAATTCCAGAACAAGAATTAAATGATAGATAAAACATTTGGGGAAAAGTACAATGCATTATAATAAGTAATGTAAAGTTATGAGATATCACTCTTGATTAAGCATATTAAAGATTAATGATTCTCCTCAAAAGTTGCAGAAATAGACATTCCCATATAATATTGGTAGTAGGATTAATACAGTCTTATTTATAGTCATTTGTCAACATAATCCAAAAATCCTTGAAAGCATAAATACCCTTTGGTCAAAAATACCTAGTGGCTGCCAAAGTGTATACTCCTGAAATGTCTGACACCCCTCTTAGGAGACTTACAAAGTTATTTTTACAGAAAGACTAAGACCTGATTTGCCTTCCCTATGTGACATTTGCACTGATGGTGCAAAAGCAATGCTAGGCAAATCTTCCACTGCCTGAGGCAAAAGCCACAAATGTTCTCTGCATCACTGTACTCCTCACCAGCACATATTTGAAGAGAGGGCAAAAAATGTATGTCTTTCCAAGTTGTTGTGTTGAACCCTTATATTCTTATAGTTTCATGTAAGAATATTTTAAGGTTCACTTACTAATTTTATTAATTCTCAATCCATGAATATTCATTCTTTTTATGTTCTTTATGACAAAATAAGAAGTAAACACAAAGTAATCTAATGCACATGGAAAATGACGCTATCACCAAGGAAAGCCCGCGTGATTGAGAGCTAAACTAGCGCTTTTTCTATGGAACACCACTTTTGCTATGAACTGATGAACAGAGTATGATTATTCAGATTTGGATATCTGGTAGACATTTTCTCAAAAATAAACAACGTGAGCCTGTCACTTCAAGGGAAACAACTGATAGTATTTGTTGCCAATGACAAAATTTGAGTTTTCAAGGGAAAATTCAAATACTGGAAAACTCTGTATCTCCCACCACAAGCTTGACAGCTTCAAATCTTAGACTTTTGCAATGAGATCAGTGGAGACACTAGCAAATGTGATTTTTTTTTTTTGATACTATGTAATGAAAGGTGACATTTGGAAGATTTGCATAACTCAAAAGTAATATTTTGCAAAGGAATAAGGCATGATGATAAAAATCATGCATGACTAGAAGATCCATTCAAAGTTCAAGATAAGCCAATGGACTGTAATGTCACAGCGTGAAAAGTTCCTTGATATGGTTTTACATTCCACATTGCAATTAACCTTTAAGAAAATACCACTTGTTGTGTTTTATGTAATAACAAAAATATCCACAATTATCTGAAAAACCTATTAAATTACTCTTCCATTTCCAACCACATATTTGTTTAAGGCCAGAGTTTTTTTAAATTCTTTAATACAAATAGCAAAACAGGATGAAGGTAGAAACAGGTAAGCCTTCCCTCCTTCCAAGGCAGGCAATAAAGAAATTTGCTAAAGTGTAAAACACTGCCATTACTCACTACTTTTTTGAAATGATGACTAATAATCATAAAAATGTTAATATGTTTAATGGTTGTTTATTTTTATTTTTTGATTAATTAGTAATTTTTTTTAACTTCTCAGTTTATATTTCAGCAAATGCCAATAGAGGTATGGAGACCATAACGTTTGAAATGAGTTATACACACTCATAACCAATTTAAGGAATCTAAAGTGCAAAAAGAAGTAGGCTTGGCATTATATAGCTCCAAAAGTAATATAAGAAAATAAGAAAAACAAAACTTATGTTCAAAACTAAGAAAATGAATAGTGTACCTAGAATGTTATTACAGTAAATTTGAAACAAATAGTAAAAAAAAAAATGTCTAAAGATGAGAAATGTTACATTTCAAAAGCAAGGTCTAAAACCATATTAGCAGAGACAGGTATTACACTGAAAAAAAGAATACTAAAAGTAAATACATAAAGTATTAGTAACAACCTTCTGAGATAAAAAAAGTCATCAATAATTTTTCTTTATTAAATATGTACTTGCTTTAAAAATTAAGAAAATAAGAACTTTACCAACTCTTTAAAACATTTCAGTACTCTGATTTCTTTATAACTCAATGTATGTGAATGTCAGTCATGGAAAAATAATTGCTGCTATTGTTATTAACAAAATTAATCAGGGAAGTTTAGTATGTAACTCTGAACTGAAAGTTAAGGAACCTGTATTCTAAATGTTGTTTGGCTATTAAACATCCTGGATTTTTGACAAGTCACTTACCCTCTTTGATCCACCAAAATTATCTTTAGGTCCTTACCCAACTGGCTCTCAATTCTAAAGGTTTCTGAAGTTCTTTTCAACAATAAAGTAATGCAACACTAATAATGAGTACTGTGAAACCAGTTCTAAAATCACCATTTATAAAATTCCCTTCATGCTGCTTAATGACCTTTTTTAGTGAGGTTTATTGAGGTACAAGAAATTATAGTTTTAAACCTCTACAAATGTATATTTCTTCATTTGTATATTAATAATGCAGCATCTCTGGATAAAACTTCACAGATGAAATGTTAAATATTCCATGAATGGTATTTGGAAGAAGTGAAAAATATCTGGGACTATCATGAATTAAAAAATAATAATTAAGAAAATGAACAAGATAGTATAGCACCCCAAGCGAAGGTTGTCCATCATAAATGTTGATAAGAATATGTGGCATTTACTCATGAAGAGAAGAAGGCATTTACTATGGGAAAGAAAAAGGATAAACAAAAGTAGGAAAAGGAAAAGAGAAGCAAAAATATAGTGGTAATATAAGTACAAAGCCATGCAGAATTCATATATGTATGTATACTATATGACAGCTGCCCAGAAAAATCTACCTAGTCCCTCAGCTATTCATTTCATTGTTCACTGGCAAGAGTGAATGCTAGAAAATTAAATTCCAGTTAGTTATTTTTGTTGTTAGCTAACATAATTAAAAATCCTAAAATCTATAAAGGAATAAATATTGCCCTAAATAAAATTCGAACAACAACAAAAAAAATTTAATTCAACAAATGAAGAAAACTTAGACCCTTGAAAAACTGAGGTCAGTAAGAACTTCAATTTATTCCTTAATCTGTACTTTTTAAATATCAATTATCGAAAAACTAGTTTTCTGATGTCTGTTCAAGGGCACCCTATCAAGGACAAGAAAGTTCTCCATTAGGGATTAATATTGCTCAGTGTCACAAAACAAATGGTACAAGTTTAATATGATTTTGAATAGAAGGTAAATAAACATTCTTCACTTCTAACATCACAATACAATTTGGTTGTGCTAGACTGGTTTGTGTGACACCTGAACCCCAGTTCCACATTTTTGAAATGAAGAAGTCTATAGTCTGTATTTACTAAAGTTCTTTCCTTAGAAAATTGGACAATGGTAGGGGGCTTCCCCAGTGGTCTAGGGGTTAAGTCTCAGTGTTACCACCATAAGGGTCTGAGGTCAATCCCAGGGCAGGCAGCTGACTCATATACAGAGCAGACCTCTCCTGTCCAGCCTGCTGCTCCCCTTAGCAGTGTATTTCAGTAGATCTGTCTGTTCTGTTCTCCACTCTGTCTCTGTTGAATCCTCTCACCCTCACTCCTCTGGCCTACACCCCAGTTTTTCTATGCATAAATAAATATTTTTAAAAACGGACAATCCTAAAATTATTGGGAAAAAAAACTATTTGAGGGCCCAGGGAAGTATAAATACACCTAGAACATGTGTGCATATGATTGTTCAAAAGCCAATCTTAAAATAACAGGGTACATAGAAGATAGCAATTTCTTGTACTGGAGTGAGAATGCCAGAGGTCACTTAACTGCATTAGACTCACTGTGCTCCCTTGTTTGTTTCCTGGAGCTAACTGAAAGGGCATCTATTGCCTCCTTTGGAGTCTACAGTTCCTATTTCCACTTTGAGAGGACCCTGCCACCCATCATTCTTTCCTAGTATCTATCAGGCTACCACTACACATTTATGGAGCAGCTACTATGCGCGCCCACCACATACCAAGTTTTCAATAAACATGTGTTGACTCGAATTTAATTGCAAGACCTGGGGAGGTTGCCAGGAATTCATCCATTAAGAGTCTCCAGTGGTAGGCTGGTAAAAAAAACATTTTCACCATCCTTGAGCTACTAACCTCTGACACTTGTGTGTGACACGTGGTTCCTAAGGGCAGGCTGGCTGCCAAGGCAGCTGCTGAAGGCAAAGGCCTATGAGAGGGGTGCGATGGGCACTTACCTGGGGAACCTCTGCTTCAGCTTCCTCAGACTCTGCCTGGTGGGCGGCACAGACACTAGGCACTGGGCTATCTCCTCGTACTGGGCTTTGGTCAATATCATGTTGGGCCAGGGATTGAGGAGTAGCGTGAACAATTAAATAAATAGCACGCTGGATTGGCGTAGCGTTAGTGCTGGGAAATGAAAAGGGGGAACACAGCGACAAGCGCTGAGCCCCTGTCTTTCTTAGCTAGTCTCTATCTCCCCTTCACCCCTAGCTTCACTACCCGGGTTTCAACGCAGTTCCGCGGCAGGGAGGGAGGGAAAGGCGGAGGGGGCGGGCATCAGATAGGGCTGCGCAGTCGCAGTGTTCCCGGAAGAAGGTAACCAGCCGCCATGTCAGTTAAGGGCACACTAACCAGGAAGTAGTGGCCACAAGTAAAGGTGTCGTTTACGTCTCAGCTGGCAGGTTATTTCCCAGTAGCTCCCAACTGGGATTAACCTATGGTACTCGTGGAGTTTTTTACCTTGCTAGTTGCGAGTAGCTAGGAAGCCCTGCCTGGCGAGCGCGTGTCCCGCGATCCTTCAGTTTAAGCCCGCGAAACGCACTTCCAAGGCGCGCAATTTGAATACGTTTCCCAAAGCGCCCGCCTTAGCGCAGCTTCCAGCCGAGCCTGGCCTACCTACAATATATTCCCGTAAAGTGTCTGCAGACCCTGGAGCACGAACCGAGAGCAGACCCCGCTAGGATCACTATAAACGATATGGCCTGGCTTGTGTTCAAAGAAGTCTGACAACTTTAGCAGCACATATACAAAGAATTTTTGTCCATATGGGAAAGCGAACTAGAAACAAACCCGTAACCATCAAACAGCCCTGCGGTAAAGAATAGCACTATCACTCTCCAGAGTTAGGTTCTCAAGTAGTGAAATCATTTCTTGTCTTTGTATTCCCAGCTCTCATAAAGTAGTTGGCGTTCAATAAATGTTTGGAGAAATGAGTCAAAAATGAATTAATCTGTTTTGCATATGTGTTGAGTCTATCTCAACTCTCCTAGGGCATTTTACTAGGATGTAGCCTCTCCTTTAATCCCTTTTAAAACTTTTATTTGATTCTCAGTAGGCCAAGTGTTATGTTTCCTTTCAAAATTTAACATTTTGAGCATATGTAAACAAATTTAGATACTAGAGCGTTTGTAATTTTTTCTTTTTAATCTGAATGAAGGTCTCTGCGGGAAGTTAAATTTAGATATGCCTCCTGGAATTAATTCCTTAATCCACTTAAGCCTCCCTTCATTTGTCTTTAAACATAATGCGTAATTAATTCATGGGGCTATTGTTAAAATTAAGTATGATAGTACAAATAAAGGATACCTTAGCAATGTCCAGCAGATAGTCTGTATAAGTCAAATAACCTGTTTTAGACTACTTGATAATGATAGGTAACATGGACGTGGCTTTTAACCAGGTATTGTTTTACAGATTCCTCACGTAGTGACTTACTCAGTCCTTCTAACTTCCTATGAGACCAGTATTATTGTCGTCATCATCATCACGGTCACTTTTGTACCTGGTGAATAAGCTGAAACATGAAAAGTTAAGTAACTTCCCAGGAGTCATGAGAACAGGCAAGCAGCAAGGGTAGAATTCAAACTCCTAAAATCTGGTTCCAGAGTCTGTGTGCTCACACATAACTCGCAGTGATGTTTAATTACTACACCAAATAGTCACACTCTCTTGGGCCAAAGGTTAAGGACTTTTTGAAAGGGAGTAATCTATGTTTCAAAGAATCTTTTAGTCCAGGTTTTTAAAAAGCTTCACCACTTCATGTTTCCCAGGCGTCTCAAAGTTCAGGATCTACAGTGGGATCCTGAGTTCAGAAACCATGTTTTTTCTTAATATTTACATCAGAACGTTTTGTTCCCATATGCTTTGCATCTAACTCTGGTTGTGTGACATTAGTACATAACTATTTATTTATGGCAGCGTGGCCTGGAGTTGCCACCTGGCTAGTTTGTTGCTGACCCTGCCATGACTTTTACATGAAAGCTAGCTGACGATAAGCAGACACCACTTGATCTCCCATTCCTTTGTCCCTCCCCACTTCACTCTTTCCTATTCACAGCCAACAGATTTTTATAGAAAACATCAGTTCAAGGATGTTTGCACTAGTTATTTTTTATAGTAATGCTTCTCTCTGGCTCTCGTCCTGCATTCAACCTCACAACCCTCAAGGAAAGGCCAGGTTTGTTTTTCTGTTTTTATTTTTAACATGCTGGCAGTTTACAATTTTGATCCAAATCCAGTAGATTGTTTAGAGTTAGTGCCAGGGGAAAAGCACAGTTTTGTTGCTGTTTTCATTGGCAGTGACAAGTGTTGTTTATTAAGCACAAAATAGAAACAAAGCAGAAAAGTAGTGGTGGTGGTGTGTAGGTGTTTTGTTTTGTTTTTCTTTTAATGTAAAAGTATTCCTTTAAAGCACACTTTCTCCCTCTGTCCCTTACCTACAGTCATCTCACTCCATCTCTGGCATTATACTCCATGGGCATCATTTGCTCTTCTCCTTCATGGGCTGCTTCTCTATGCCTGAAGTTCCCCTATTGTTTCTCTGCCAGTCTGTAATATCAACCATTTCCCCACTAAGTGAAGTAGGATCACAAAATGTAAATAATACCAAACCAAAATCCCAAGAACTTCCTACCTGTTTCAAATCAGCAATAAATTGTGTGGTCTTGAGCAAGTGACAGCTTCTCTGATCCTGAATGTCCTCGGTGTAACCTCTTGAAATGTAATTTTATAGTTCTCATAGGTTGGGGAAAAAATCCACAAACATGAAAAAGTGCATAGGAAATTATAGCAAGAACATTAATCCAAGAGATGACTAGAATAGCTCCTTGGAAGAACCAGTAGCCCTAAAAGATGTGCAGGAGTGAATCAAGTGACTAGATTTCTTTCTGCCAATTCCTGGATGACATGAATGATGAACAATTTTAAAGGAGTATGGGATTTGGCAGGAAGGATTCAGAAGGTCATTTGAAGAAGACTGCTAAACACAAAGGACTAAAAATAAGAATGAGCCAAGTGGGAAGGTTAGAAGGTAAGAATGCGCATGGGAAGGTTATTCTGGCTGGAGCAAAGAGTTCTAGACAGAGTGAAAGGGAGCTGAAGATCCTTGACCTTGCAAAGTGTCAGTCACATTTGTAAACAGACTCTTGTCCATGTTTTTTAAAAAAATGATGGCATATTTTTATTTTAAAGTCTGATACTATTCATGGAATCTTGTTAAAGTCACCACATTTGTTATTCTAAAGATAAATAATTTGAAATTAACTAACTCCTTAAAGAAGGAAGCTAGTATTAGATGAGCACATATTACACTTTAAGCTTTATCAGCTTAGACCATGACTAGAGAGATAAGGAAAAGAAGGCACAAAGAAAGTAAAGAACTTGCCCATGATTCTAGTGTACTTGCAAAACCATGATTTGAATCCAATTTAGTCTGCCTATAAACACTCAGGTTCTCCATGGAAGTGTACTATAATTCAGTAAGGAAAAAACCCTGGTTGAATTATCCTCAATTAAGTATTTATGTTCTGATATAGCTGGCTACTTTCTTTGATCACCACAAAGCCTGTTGAAGAGGCACACACATTTGATCTTGACATTTAGCCAAAATGTCGTTTATAAATTGGTTAGCATTTGATTAGAAAAGACTGCATAGTTCTTTCTTTGTCCTATGAAGTTCCACCTAAAGTGGTGTGTCTTTTAAAATCAAAGTGTACTTCCCCAATCTTTGCATCTGTGAGCAACAAGTCATTTTATCCTGATCCTAAAATAATACAAGTACTTGGCAAAGATCACTTTGTAAAGATCAGAATAATTCATTTGTTGCAGCTTGCAACAATTGCTCCTATCATTGACTTAAAGCAAACACAAGGAAGAATATCATATCCAGTGATATGATAGCAATCACTGGATGGTCATGAAAGACCAAGAGCCAAATGCTCTTGCTTCATGCATGTCAATAGTAAATGAATTCCTACTGTCAAACTAAGTAGCTTTTTTCAGAGGGAGGTTAAGTGTTGATGGGGGGTATTGCTGAAGTACTGTTACAAATAGAAATTGTGTCTCGTGTACAGAATGAAGAATGGCACCTGCTCAAGTTTCACTTTTTTATTAACTAATCAATTAATTGACTGATTAATTAATTTTTTTCAAATGAGGTAACATCGGGATATCCCCATCAGGTATTATCACCATAGTGCTTCCACCATCACCCGTACTTTATCACCACAAATCATTATGCCCCACTCTCTCCCTCCCCGTCTTTTTCCTTCCCCCACAATCTCCCCCTTAGTGTCTCAGTTCTGTAGTCAGCTATTAAGTGTTGATTTTTTAAACTTCTTTTTATCTGACTATTAATCTAATTATATTTTAGTCCACATGTTAGTGACACCATTCAGTATTTATCTTTCCCCTACTTGTTTTACTTAGCATTATCCTCTCAAGCTCTATCCATATTGTGTTTCTCAAACTATCTGTGTTCAGGGAACAAGTTTTGCCCCAATTTGTCATAGACACATGCTTTTGTAAAATAAAATTTAAAAGTGAATTATTCTAAAAAGGAAATTTAAATAGACAAAGACATTTGGAAGTCACCAGACATATATACTCTGACAAATTGACATAAAAGGTTTCAAAATTTTGTTCTCAATTTTTGTACTTATTACATTAGGGTATGTAAGTAAAGTTTGAGAATCAAACTTTACTGGTTTGCCAAGCACATTTTGAGCAGCACTGTACGAATAGCTTAGCAAATCAATATTTGCAGCCTGGTGTATACAAAGTCTAATACATCACATTTTCATGTACGGCTAGTTAGAAGAGAAGTATAAGCTGTTCTTTCTAAATATCACCCACATCATTATTATCATTATTCTACTGTATTTAGATCTTCTCAACCTATGCATATTTCTTTTGTTTTTTTTTTTTAAAGATTTATTTATGTATACAGAACTGAGGTATAGGGCAGAGGTACAGGGGTGGTGAGAGGATTCACCAGAGACAGAGTGGGAAGCAGAACAGGCAGATCAACGAAGTACACTGCTGAGGGGAGCAACGGGCAGGTCAGGAGAGGTCTGCAGCATCATGTGGATCTCCTCCGGGGCAGGTGGGGGTCGAACTCATGCTGAAGTGGCTTTAGCTTCTTAGTACTGTGCTTTAACCCACAACACCACTCGGGAAGGCCTATGTATATTTCTTAAGATCAGCAGTGCAAAACTTCAGTCTATTTT